AGACACAGTGTAACTGTCCAGACACAGTGTAACTGTCCAGACATACTGTAACTGTCCAGACATACTGTAACTGTCCAGACACAGTGTAACTGACCAGACACAGTGTAACTGTCCAGACACAATGTAACTGTCCAGACACAGTGTATCTGTCCAGACATACTGCAACTGTCCAGACATACTGTAACTGTCCAGACACAGTGTATCTGTCAAGACACAGTGTAACTGTCCAGACACAGTGTATCTGTCCAGACACAGTGTAACTGTCCAGACATATTGTAACTGTCTAGAGATATTGTAACTGTCCAGACACAGTGTAACTCTCCAGACACAGTGTAACTGTCCAAACATACTGTAACTGTCCAGACATATTGTAACTGTCCAGACACAGTGTAACTGTCCAGACATACTGTAACTGTCCAGACACAATGTAACTCTCCAGACACAGTGTAACTGTCCAACCATACTGTAACTGTCCAGACACAGTGTAACTGTCCAGACACAGTGTAACTGTCCAGACATACTGTAACTGTCCAAACATACTGTAACTGTCCAGACACAGTGTATCTGTCAAGACACAGTGTAACTGTCCAGACACAGTGTATCTGTCCAGACACAGTGTAACTGTCCAGACATATTGTAACTGTCTAGAGATATTGTAACTGTCCAGACACAGTGTAACTGTCCAGACACAGTGTAACTGTCCAGACATATTGTAACTGTCCAGACACAGTGTGTCTGTCCAGACACAGTGTAACTGTCCAGACATATTGTAACTATCTAGAGATATTGTAACTGTCCAGACACAGTGTAACTGTCCAGACACACTGTAACTGTCCAGACATATTGTAACTGTCAGGCAAATTGTAACTGTCCAGACATACTGTAACTGTCCAGACTAACGTAACTGTTTGGCCATATTGTAACTTTCCAGGCATACTGTACCTGCCAAGAGATGCTGTATCTGTCCAGACATACCGTAACTGTTTGGACATATTGTAACTGTCCAGACACAGTGTAACTGTCCATACATACTGTAACTGTCCAGACACAATGTAACTGTCCATACACAGTGTAACTGTCCAGACACAGTGTAACTGTCTAGACATACTGTAACTGTCCAGACACAGTGTAACTGTCCAGACACAGTGTAACAGTCCAGACATACTGTAACTGTCCAGACATACTGTAACTGTCCAGACATACTGTAACAGTCCAGACAATGTGTAACTGTCCAGACATACTGTAACTGTCGAGACACAGTGTAACTGTACAGGCACAGTGTAACTGTCCAGACACAGTGTAACTGTCCAGACACAATGTAACTGTCCAGACACAGTGTAACTGTCCAGACACAGTGTAACTGTCCAGACACAGTGTAACTGTCCAGACATACTGTAACTGTCCAGACATACTGTAACTGTCCAGACACAGTGTAACTGACCAGACACAGTGTAACTGTCCAGACACAATGTAACTGTCCAGACACAGTGTATCTGTCCAGACATACTGCAACTGTCCAGACATACTGTAACTGTCCAGACATATTGTAACTGTTTGGACATACTGTAACTGCCCAGACACAGTGTAACTGTCCAGACACAATGTAACTGTCCAGACACAGTGTAATTGTCCAGACATACTGTAACTGTCCAGACACAATGTAACTCTCCAGACACAGTGTAACTGTCCAAACATACTGTAACTGTCCAGACATATTGTAACTGTCCAGACACAGTGTAACTGTCCAGACATACTGTAACTGTCCAGACACAATGTAACTCTCCAGACACAGTGTAACTGTCCAACCATACTGTAACTGTCCAGACACAGTGTAACTGTCCAGACACAGTGTAACTGTCCAGACATACTGTAACTGTCCAAACATACTGTAACTGTCCAGACACAGTGTATCTGTCAAGACACAGTGTAACTGTCCAGACACAGTGTATCTGTCCAGACACAGTGTAACTGTCCAGACATATTGTAACTGTCTAGAGATATTGTAACTGTCCAGACACAGTGTAACTGTCCAGACACAATGTAACTGTCCAGACATATTGTAACTGTCCAGACACAGTGTAACTGTCCAGACACAATGTAACTGTCCAGACACAGTGTATCTGTCCAGACATACTGCAACTGTCCAGACATACTGTAACTGTCCAGACATATTTTTAACTATTTGGACATACTGTAACTGTCCAGACACAGTGTAACTGTCCAGACACAGTGTAACTGTCCAGACACAATGTAACTGTCCAGACACAGTGTAACTGTCCAGACACAGTGTAACTGTCCAGACACAATTTAACTGTCGAGCCACACTGTAACTGTCCAGACATACTGTATCTGTCCAGACACAGTGTAACTGTCCACACACAATGTAACTGTCCAGACATATTGTAACTGTCCAGACATACTGTATCTGTCCAGACACAGTGTAACTGTCCAGACACAGTGTAACTGTCCAGACTTAGTGTAACTGTCCAGACAAAGTGTAACTGTCCAGACATACTGTAACTGTCCAGACACAATGTAACTGTCCAGACACAATGTAAGTGTCCAGACCCAGTGTAACTGTCCAGACACAGTGTAACTGTCCAGACACAGTGTAACTGTCCAGACACAATGTAACTGTCCAGACACAGTGTAACTGTCCAAACATACTGTAACTGTCCAGACACAGTGTATCTGTCAAGACACAGTGTAACTGTCCAGACATATTGTAACTGCCCAGACACAGTGTAACTGTCCAGACACAGTGTAACTGTCCAGACACAGTGTAACTGTCCAGACACAATGTAACTGTCCAGACACAGTGTAACTGCCCAAACATACTGTAACTGTCCAGACACAATGTAACTGTCCAGACATATTGTAACTGTCCAGACACAGTGTAACTGTCCAGACATACTGTAACTGTCCAGACACAATGTAACTGTCCAGACACAATGTAAGTGTCCAGACCCAGTGTAACTGTCCAGACACAGTGTAACTGTCCAGACACAGTGTAACTGTCCAGACACAATGTAACTGTCCAGACACAGTGTAACTGTCCAAACATACTGTAACTGTCCAGTCACAGTGTATCTGTCAAGACACAGTGTAACTGTCCAGACATATTGTAACTGCCCAGACACAGTGTAACTGTCCAGACACAGTGTAACTGTCCAGACACAGTGTAACTGTCCAGACACAATGTAACTGTCCAGACACAGTGTAACTGCCCAAACATACTGTAACTGTCCAGACACAATGTAACTGTCCAGACATATTGTAACTGTCCAGACACAGTGTAACTCTCCAGACATACTGCAACTGTCCAAACACAGTGTAACTGTCCAGACACAGTGTAACTGTCCAAACATACTGTAACTGTCCAGACATATTGTAACTGCCCACACATACTGAAACTGTCCAGACATACTGCAACTGTCCAGACATACTGTAACTGTCCAGACATATTGTAACTGTTTGGACATATTGTAACTGTCCAGACATACTGTAACTGTCCAGACATACCGTAACTGTCCAGACATACCGTAACTGTTTGGACATATTGTAACTGACCACGCATAGTGTAACTGTCCAGACATATTATACCTGTCTAGACATACTGTAACTGTCCAGACATAATGTAACTGTCCAGATATACTGTTACTGTCAAAATATAGTGTGACTGTCCAGGCATAGAGTAACTGTCTACACATATTGCAACTGTCCAGACATACTGTAACTGACTAGACATGCTGTAACTGTCAAGACATATTATACCTGTCTAAAGATATTGTTACTGTCTAGACATACTGTAACTGTCAAGGTATATTGCAACTGTCTAGAGATATTGTTACTGTCCAGACAAAGTTGAACTGTCTACACATACTGAAACAGTCCAAACATAATGTAACTGATTAGAGATAGTGTAACTGTCTAGACATACTGTAACTGTCTACATATATTGCAACTGTCCAGACAAAGTGTAACTTGACATACTGTAATAGTCCTGACATAGTGTAACTGTCCAGACATAGTGTAACCGTCCAGACACAGTGTAACTGTTCAGACATACTGTAACTGTCCAGACACAGTGTAACTGTCCAGACATATTGTAACTGTCAGACAAATTGTAACTGTCCAAACATACTGTAACTGTCCAGACATATTGTAACTGTCAGACAAATTGTAACTGTCCAGACATACTGTAACTGTCCAGACTTACGTAACTGTTTGGCCATATTGTAACTTTCCAGGCATACTGTACCTGCCAAGAGATGCTGTATCTGCCCAGACATACCGTAACTGTTTGGACATATTGTAACTGTCCAGGCAAAGTGTAACTGTCCGGACATATCGTAACTGTTTGGACATACTGTATCTGTCCAGACATACTGTAACTGTCCACACATACTGTAACTGCCCAGACATGCTGTAACTGTCCAGACTTGCTGTATCTGTCCAGACATACTGTATCTGTCCAGACATGCTATAACTGTCCAGACATACTGTATCTGTCCAGACATACTGTAACTGTCCAGACATGCTGTAACTGTCCAGACATACTGTAACTGCCCAGACATGCTGTATCTGTCCAGACATGCTGTATCTGTCCAGACATACTGTAACTGTCCAGACATGATGTAACTGTCCAGACATACTGTTTCTGTCCAGACATGCTGTATCTGTTCAGACATACTGTAACTGTCCAGACATACTGTATATGTCCAGAAATACTGTATCTGTCCAGACATACTGTAACTGTCCAAACATACTGTAACTGTCATCATGTTAAATAATGTATGGAAATCTACGTGGTGAGGTGCTGTGAAATCGGTTTGAACGTCGTGTTCAAGATTGTTACACTTATATAGCGACGTGCATGCACGTTTGTCTTAACGTCTTTTGGTAGGACGCGGCGGGGGATCGAACCTAGACCTTCCTCTCTCCGGGAGGTGTTGATGGTATAACTAATCCTTTTCAATCCATTTTTATTTCATTTTCAGAAATTAATTGAAGTGAAATAAGGCCAACTCATTCGCGACTCCTGAAACGGTACTTACATGAGGAGCAGGTGTGTCCTGTACAAGCCGTGGAGCTAAGTGTAAGTGGTCAAAATCGATTCATCAATATGTCCCAAAAGGAATATTAAATCTGCTTTTGGAATGCTGTTACTACTCCAGGTCATCATATTCACTGTAAAATTGAACACAGTTGGCCAATGTTATGTATGGTCGAGGAGAGCAGTTGCCACTACAACAAATGATAAAAACCGTCATCCACACCGAGTTTCCAATGTTTCCCGCCCCAGAAATACCAGAAACAGATCTGTTCCATTTCAGAATGAGTCAAGTCATATTCTGGTGTCCATAATTTTCGGTATTTATTGCATGTTTTCTAAGATCAATTTTGCGCCTCGAAATAACGACATGTAATTGATCATATTTTGTAGATAACATCCTTTCAAGAAGCATAAGTCAGAGCCAAAGAAGAATCTTTAAACATCACCACTATCGACATAACATTTTTTCAAGGATCGTTTGGCTGCATAAAGTTTACAGTGCTGCAATCATAACCATATTTGAGAAGAAAAGACAGGTCGATGTTCTAAGATGGGCCAATGCATGTGTGCAAAGAAAAGAAACATTTTAAAGTTTTTTATAGTTTTTGTCTATTTCCAAATGCTCATTCTGTTTATATTGTTTCTAAGGGGAACACACAGAAAAAGATTGCTACAGAATGCCATCTTCACCAGAAATGTTACAAACGTAGCAATTACATATTCAAGCAACGCAACAGAACATCCCTTACGGACTCAAAAGCTTCCTAATAGTGTATATCCGCAACGAGAGTTAAATGCGTCCTGCGTCCTCAGAGATAACAACAGATGGCTTCCATTTAGATCTGGAGAATTGAGACGTCTTGAACAGTGGTATTCTTCAATAGATCGTTTCTTTTCCATCAACAACACTCAGCCTCTGAATCTACCTGAAGATGATGGACCTAATTTGTATAAAGAGTATGATCTAAAGAAGCCATGGAACTTTACTCTTTCCGATCAGCATTACGAGGAATTCACAATTTTAAATGGAACAAAGGGATGTTTTATTCGAGGTACAGCAATTTCAAGAAAACGGGGTACAACTGTTACGTGTGTGTGCGCTTCTGGTTATGTTGGGCAGCACTGCTCGGTGCCAATACTAATCCAGAAGTCCCTGCCATCATTTCATGGTAAACCACGAGATAAGCCACGACGGCTAATTCTAGCCACAAAATTTAATATGGAGCACCATGTACTGATGCTGAAGATGTTACAGGTGCACTCAGCCGTGGATCTGTTTGTGATTCTGGAATCCAACTACACTGGACATGGAGATACACGACCATTACGGTTACTACACAATTTGAGGAGAGGCTACATGAAGCGATTCCACTACAAGATAATGCACGTCTTCGTTAACTCTTTTCCAGCTCAAGGACAATTAAAAGGAGACGTGGCAGAGAAACACATCAACCAATATATTGTTTCAGCCATAGAGACAAGAGTTTCAGGACTCAGAAATGATGATCTGTTCATCTACATGGACACTGATGAAACTCCGGATGTGAAACTATTGCAATTTCTAAAGCTTCACAATGGTTACCCTTTCCCGGTTGGCTTTGTGCTTCAGGGTTTTATGTATGGCTTCTATTGGGAACGTGCGCTTACCAAGGTTATAAGCGTCTGCAGCATACATATGTTTAGAGACTTTTACAAGGGGAATGTGTATGCACTCCGAGCTGGTAAAATGGCCAAAGGAAGTTCAACATTTGGTGCGTTACGAACATGGCTCATCGGTTCACCTGACAGCTATGCTGGGTGGCATGCATCATGGTTCTCCTCTCCAAGGGAGGTTATCACGAAGCTGACTTCTGCTATTAATGCTGACTTCCCCCGATGGGGGGACTACCCAGAGAAATGCACGTTTGACTACGTTGCTACTCTGTTTAGAAAAGGGGAATACTTTGATGGAAAGACAAAGTTTCATCCAATTTGTTTGAACGACATTTATGTATTGAAAGACCTTCCTTACCTGTCCAAGTATAAAGGATACTTTAATTTTATGTTACATAACCCAACAGCTGTGAAATATGGATTCTAAGGTTCAAACAGTTAGGAATAGAGGGAGGAAGCAATCTTCGCTGATCGCGAATTCAAAGTCATCTCTATAGGTAACGGACGGTGGTGGCTTGGTGCTTGAAGCTTTCGCCCGTGTTTGATTCCTAATATGGGTACAATGTGTGATGCCCATTTCTGGTGTCACCCGCCGTGATATGGTTGGACTTTAGCTGACAGCGATTTAAAACCATACTCACTCACTCTATAGGTTACACATATGTCTTTACAGTACAAATGGCATTACCTAGGTTTAAACTGGTAATTACACATATCTAAGACCAGAGCATTTTACGTTCGTTTACTGTTACATGGTATATGCGGGAATTCAATGCTCACCCTGGCTGACATAAATAAATTCTTATTATGTGGTTCAATTGCACATGACTCATTTGTTACCAACTCGTACCATTCTAGGATGAGACGTGGTTCGTAGATTCTTAAAAGAATTGGTTAAAAGATTCGGTTGTAGAAAAGTTAGCCCAAACGCATCGTACAGTGTGTACTTCGTACAATTTGGCTGAAATACATGCTTCTTGTAGCCATTCATTTTGACACGGTTTTCACTGTTGTCATCGCCAAGAAATAGTAGACAAGACGGGCTTCATATTATGGTTGTAATTTAGTTTTCATGTCTCATAGTTGAGAACACGTTGAGGATGACTTTTCTGTAACAGTTAGATACTTACATTCACCTGAGAAATTGTTCTTTTGTTATATAGTTGCATCAAACACGTCCTCAGTACTTGTATACACAAGATAATCAGGTTTGTTGATTGTTATTTTAACTACGCTTTATTTCCCATACAATGTATTTCCACTGCACAATAATTTAGTTGCAAGGCGTATTTGAAATTGGATCCACTTTAAACAGGTGTGTATATATATATTAGAAACATTAACCAGCTCAGATTATCCGCTAAAATACATTCCTTTGTACCTATAAGGCAAAATACATGTTATGTAAATGGATGAGTTAAAATGAGTGATGACATGCTTGAACATGAGATGAAGAAACGTGGTTATGATTGAGTAGTTACTTTGCCTTCTCTGCGTCATTGTTCAGAGTGAGTGAGTGAGTATGGTTTTACGCCGCTTTTAGCAATATTCCAGCAATATCACGGCGGGGGACACCAGAAATGGGCTTCACACATTGTGCCCATGTCGGGAATCGAACCCGGGTCTTCGGCGTGACGAGCGAACGCTTTAACCACTAGGCTACCCGACCGCCCCCATTGTTCAGAGAGGCGACTAACGGGATCGGGTGGTCAGGCTCGCTGACCTGTTGGTTCATGTCATCGTATCCTACTGACGTTGTTTGGCGTCACCGGATTGTTTGGTCCAGACTCGATTATTTGCCAGCTGACAATTTTAAGGTGAAATGTAGGGATGCTTCATAATAAGGAACATAAATTGGTTTACATGATGCGGATAGAACACCGAAATATGCCAGAAACATATTATGTACATATAGTTCTCGTCTTCATGCGCCAATATGAAAACCTACAAGAGGGGCACGAGTCTGAATTCGGCTTGTCTCGGAAGGGATGAGTTGGTCACGAATGAGTCCGTAACTGTCGTTCGGAATACACCGTGTTAACTTTTTCGAGGTTGCATGATTAGAAAACACATTCCGACTGTCACTTTCCGGATCTGGTTAGCGACGCGCTGATCTGTTGGATAAAAGGTGGTTCTGGCGTGAGCCGTAATGGGTAAACATAACGGTAAACATAATTCGAACCGGGATTCGGTCACACTATCATAGGTTTCTGGCGTGCCAAAGGGGCGCAACTCTGCACATCATTAGTTGATGAGCACTGCCGAGTAACCATGGTAACATGATTTAAACATAATATGGATCGGCAAACAAGCCAAGAAGGCTTATGTTAATACATCTCCAGTACAAGTTAAATTCATGAAGGTATTATACAAAATAAAACATGATGATGAACTAAGAAAAGCAAGTTGTAATGGACAACAGTTTGGTGTAATGAGTAGAAAAAATAATATAGAAGCGGGATTTAATGTCTCACGTTAGCTTAAACCTTTTGGAATGAAGTATGTGGGTCATTATCAAAATATGTACCCTTTTTTACGTCAGTGATCTCTAACTTTCATAAAGTTTAAGATAGTCCTTTCATCTCTAATATTTCAGTGGTGGTGGTGATAATATATAATCGAGCATCGACTTTGTGAGTGGAGTGGTTTATAGACTAAAATTGTTAAGATATCACTGTCACTAGACACTGAATGCTATTTACAGTGACCATACTTCAAATTATATATCATATACATATGCATTCATATTGTTATTTTTTTATTTGGAGTGGAGTCTTTAAAATAAACATACGTTTCCTCATTGTTTCTGTTTTTAAATACTGTAAACTACGGTTATAACAAACTCAAAGGGACTACTAATTTTAGTTCGTTATAACCGTAGTTCGTTATAAGCATATACACAGCATAACTACAGCAAATAGTTGGGACCAAAAAGTATCCGTCAGTTCGTTATCAGCGTGTTCGTTTTAACCGTGGTTTACTGTAATAATAAATAAGCAAAACATGCCTGTCTAAAAGGTCCCTGTTCTTGGTGTAACCATTTGCTTGCTAATGATGTAAGAGCTATCCATATTTATATAGAAAGAAAGTAAATGACATCACCTCCTGTCATCCACGAAAAACTTTATTTGGAGAAAGCAGAAGAAAAAGTTCTTCAAACTGGAAAAAAGGTTAGATCAAGTATCACCATATGAAAATTCCATGTCATTGGTGTAACGTTGTTGTAAAGAAAACTACCTCATTTAGCCTTACATTTATAATGGAAGAGTCAAATGCACTGGTCATGAATGCTGTCTGCTACTGTACAGGGAGCAGTCATTATTTTCATTTTTCAGGTTGAATGAAAATATGGCCTTGGTGTAACTGTCCTTGGTGTAACCTTTGAAAGACAGGTTTGTTTTTTTATTTGAATCTCTTTCTGAAAGTGCATTTGGGTATATGTTTTGTTTTATAGTTGAAAGTTTGACAATTCTACATATAAGATATTTCATTTTGAAAATGTAATGTGAGAATTTGCTAATAATCAGTTTAGAATTTTAAGTTACACCACAAACCAAACAATTATGATAGACAAATAGTAGTAGATGTGTTCAATCGATTTAGAATGTTTGATAGGAATTTATTTTTTCTTACTTTTAAAGATAAAAGATATGATACGATATTATATTTAATAAAATTTTGAATTTACAGTTACACCAAATACAAAGTTTGGGAAATTATTTTATTTTCATTATCATTAAAGGTCAACTGTAATAAGACCATTTAGCTGTCATTGATCAAACAACAACCTTGATTTGGGAACCTATAACTATTTTAGTTGTTTATGTTACTGATGTGGTAACAAAGACATTTCCTGTAGTTCTTTGATCTAGTCAAGCAGTTTGTTTGTTTGTTTGTTTGTTGTTAAACGCCGCACTCAGCAATATTCCAGCTATATGACGGCGGTCTGTAAATAACCCAGTGATTGATGTCATGAGCATCGATCCACGCAATTTGGATACGATGACATGCATCAACCAAGTCAGCGAGCCTGACCACCCGATCCTGTTGGTCTCCTCTTAAGACAAGCATAGTCGCCTTTTTACGGCAGTAAAACATTTCATTGATGAATGCTACCATATGTATAAAATACTTCCTCCAATTGCAGTGTTTCCAACTGGCATTGACAAATGTTGAGAAACAACGACGGTTCCGAGAAAGAAGGGTTGGTTGGTTGGTTTGTTGTTTAACGCCGCACTCAGCAATATTCCAGCTATATAACGGCGGTCTGTAAATAATCGAGTCTGGACCAGACAATCCAGTGATTGACAACATGAACATCGATCCACGCAATTGGGATCGATGACATGCATCAACCAAGTCAGCGAGCCTGACCACCCGATCCCGTTAGTCGCCTTTTACGACAAGCTTGGGCTGCTGAAGACCTATTCTACCCCGGAATCTTCAAGGGTCAGAAGGGACAGGGATCCTGAAAGACGAACCCAATATCTACAGGAAAAAAAGGAAAAGTACAGCCATGACCTTGCTGATAGTAGACGTTCTTCTATCAACACCATGTCAGGGAGAAGCGACAACAGAGGCATAACTAGAAGAAGGCCAAAAGATCTCACAGAGAGCAGATAAGTTCATAGGTACATGAAGAACAACTTACGCCACCAATGTCACCTGTTTGTGAAGGTCCAGCAGCTCCTCGTTCACACCAACAGATTGCCAGCGGAAAGAAGAGGAATCGGTCTACTGCAAAGTGTTATCGAGATAATGAAAAGCTAAGGGAAGGTCTGATGGCAGAAAAAAGGAAAGTTGTAAAGTACATTCAGAGATGGATAAGGGGAAAAGAGAAGAGAAGAGAATGGATAATTTTGATACACCAAGAACAAAAACAAAGCTTCTATTGAGAGGACTCAGCGGTTTTAACAGCTACCACTTAGAAAGAAAGACCGAGTCTCCATGGTCAGAAGAATTGTTTTATTTCATTTTGGTTGAAGTGAGGCTCTCAGAAAAAAGTACGAAACAGGAAGCAACATTCAAAAGAAAAACTTCGTCGAAAATAGGATCAGGAAAGGAAAGATGATAAGAAAGTACAGACTTGCTAATGCAGTGAAGACACAGATGGGAATAACCCGAAAACAGAAGCATGCACTAGGTAAAGGGAGTTTTACACAGAGACTTGACAGAGAGCTGCAAGAATTATTTGAAAGAGATGACAACAACAGGTTCACCTCTGGGATCAAGACACTGGGTGAAACAAATGCAGTTACTTAAAGTATTGCCGTTCCTGGTCATCATGGTCAGTTTGGCCATGACTGTCAGCATCGGCTCAGCTCAGTCAAGGAGTGATTGGTCTTACGACGCTTTTTTGGTCAATAACGCATTACATAGTACATCTGCACGTATTTCTCTTTCATTTCATGCTGGTAATGTTCATGTGCCGCTCGCAGTCACCTGACACCCGATCCTCAGTCGGATAGTAACCACGTGACCAAAACTCAATAATGATGTTTTTCGTTAAGAAAATAGACAAACAATGTAACAAACAAATGTGTTTACTACTGAATACATACCACATTTCACAATGATAAATTAAGAAAATAGTAGGTTATTTTCAATATTGCTGCCATGGCAGACATTATGAGCTGGGTCGGAATTCTGGGAGGATTTTCGTAGACGTTTGAAACTAACACAAACACAACACTTCAACAACAAAGGCCATAGTACATGTTGGTCAAAATCTAGATGTTTGCCAGCATACACGTTGTCCTCGCTGAAATTATATTTACTGTGCAGCTGTTTCCACTTGAAAAAACTATCTTTAT